ACATAATTTTATTTTATTTTGTTTTATTTGGTATTTGAGTACTGTCTTTTTCTTCTGTAAGTTTGGAGCTTCACAAAGCCAGGAAATTCATCTTCCTCTTCATTAAAAACACCACCCATCTAGCACAGTGTTTCTTTTCTTTACATTAAGAATTTTTTATCCATTTTATATACCAATCACAGATCCCCCTCTTCCCTCCTCCTGCCCTTCCAGCCTTCCCCTCCCCCACCCCCCATTTCCTCCTACAGGAACATAAGGGAATGGGATGGTCAAGCTGGAACAGGGATGGAGTGGGAGAACAATGAAAGCGATACTCACAATGCTTCTTATCTTATGGGCAGTCATCAAATGTCTGCTAAACAGAAGGAGTCTGAGGAGGCAGAGGCAATGTTTACAAACTATGAATGACTTTGAGATAATTTCAAATATTTGCATGGAAGCAAGCTGTGTGCAATCCTGGCTGCTTTGACCCTGGTAGTTCTAAAGCAAGGTAAATGTTTCCATCACCCACCCAGGAACTCAAGCCATGTACCTCAAGGAGCCTGAATGCAGGAGTGGAAGGGAGAGAAGATGGGAAGGCCTACTCTGTGTGAATGGCTGGCCTCTGGACATGGAATGGCTCCTGCACACATGACCCACAACAGCTGTGGTTACCTTCACAAACCTATCCAAAACCAAGCCAGGCCAGGCGGTGGTGGTGCACGCCTTTAATCCCAGCATTCGGGAGGCAGAGCCAGGCAGATCTCTGTGAGTTCAAGGCCAGCCTGGGCTACCAAGTGAGTTCCAGGAAAAGGCACAAAGCTACACAGAGAAACCCTGTCTCGAAAAACCAAAAAATTAAAAAATTAAAAAAATAAAACCAAGCCAGTTAACAGTTTCCTCAAAGAAGAAGGGGGAGCTCCCAAGGCCCCAACCCTGGGTGAGGAGCTGTTGGCAGTTTATGGCTTCTGGTGAGAATGAGTCACTTTTCTTTCTTCTTTTTTTTTTAAAACATTTTCAAAATTGATTCTTTGGGAATTTCACATCATGCACCCCAATCCCACTCATTTCCAGTCCTTCCATGCCTGCCCTCCACTCTTGTATGCCCCTCAAAAGAAAGAAAATATTAATGATTTAATAGAAACCACTTTCATCTTGTCTACCTCTCCACCACATATTTCTTCATCAAAGTGGCTGTGAGAGCTGCAGTGTGTCACGTGGTATACCCTTTTGTCCAAGCATTTTACTTGGAAATGTTCATTGTAATGAATTGTTGGTCTGGTTCAAGGTCTCTGGCTTCTGCTAGATTTTCAATAGTGAGCGTTCACTGAGACTCCTATTGGATATCCTACTGTTGCCCCAAGTCATTGAGACCCTGGTTCCATAGGACCAGAACCTTCACGAACTCCAGCATGTCATAGATGTTGAAGTGGGCCAACTCAAAGCACTGGATGTGGACCTGAATGGTAGCTAAGTTGGTTAGCCCAGGCCTCAACAGGGAAGCCCCCCCCCCCCGCAGGTAGAGCAGCACTCCTGTGCCCCTACCACTGGGGCCAGCTCTCCTGTGAAGGACAGGACCAGGTCTCCTGCTACATGGCTTGATACTACTCAGCATGACATATGGACATCAGCAT